CGAACTGTTGACTGATACACCAAGTCTTCTCGCCTGCGATAGTCCTCCATGTGGGAGTAGTTGGTATTAAACATGGCGTCATATGTGAAAATCTTCTGCTTAATGGTGCCGCCATCTGTAACCTGTCGAGAACAGAAAGAATGACTTCAATAAAAATGCCTAATTTAGTTCCATTGGATGTCACATGGGCTACGTCCAGCATTCAGTCATATGGAAAGACTGATCTCTCCAGTCAATTTATGTCATAGGTTGATTTTCTACAAGGGAGAAACATAAATATGGCATTTTTTTGTGCAATTTAGTGCACAATATTGGAAAAAAAACAATAAAACAATATAAAATATAAAATGTGCCATGACTTTTGTACAGGCCACAATTTCCACTATGTTATATTAAGCAAATAAATACTAACTATGCACTAAAATGTGCACAAAAAGTTCTCTGTATACACTGTGTTACTTATTTTCACTTAGAAAACCACCAAAACATGACCAGGGGTGCCCAAACTATCGCATACAGCTGTGTATCACATGGCAAAATGACTGGATTTGGTCACCAGCTCTATAAGACCCACTATGGCCACAGGCAAAGTTAGTACTCAAGCTTTCAATTACTGCATTGATCTGTTTAGCTCTATTAATGGGCCACTTTTTAAGAGCTGATGGAGACGGAATTCAAATTGCCTCTGTGATAGCAGATTAAGAACCTACCTAAAGCAATATTTTTACAGGACATATAATTAACACAATGTTCCTCCTGAACCCAAATGCAGCGGATCAGCCAAGACATGTTTGTTCTTTAGTTCTGAATCGTAGATACAAGGCGAATGTATGATGTATATGATGTATTATAGCTAATGTATGATGTATGTATATGATGTATCTTGAAATCTTGAACTTTGGAAAACTACAAGAACTTTGGAGCAAAAATAGAAGGAAGGAAGGAATAAAGGAAGAAATACATACATATATATATATATATATATATATATATATATATATATATATATATAAAACCTCACTCTATAAAATATATATAGAAGGATGCCAGACAGCTAACGTTACTGGTAGAAAGTCAAATATCAAAGGGCCTCATTCTCCAATATCTTCCTGAGTTTGTTGTCCAATGTGTTCTTGAGAAAGATCCTAAGACAGAGTCTCCATCAGATTCATGACGTGTTCTTAAAGCGCAGAACTGTTCTCACCTTTGTGTTCTTGAGTGTGTGTAGATTCTGTTCTTACCTAAGAACAAATCCCACATAAGAGAACATTGATGAATGAAGAGTCTTTGTGAAAACTGCTTAAGTGGGTTTTAAGACATTTCTCCTTAAGCACGGTTGGTGAATGAGGCCCATTGTCTTTTTCATTAACCTGTCAAGATTTTTTTAGCACCACGATGGAGATTCCCATCCAACGTTAATGGAGAAAAACACAAAAAGGATACAAAATCGTGAATTCTGTCAAACCAATTACCTTTTATAGTTGGTATTTCATTTTCACATGTTCATAGATATCAATGGATGTGATAGAATAAGGGGAAAAAAGAAAAGAAAAGAAAAAAGGCAGCTTAGAACCGCTCCATGGTAAGATATCAACAGCTGCCATATTTGTCAGAACTTGTACATTTTCTGATTTAAACTATATGTCAGTTGCTCTAATGGAAGCACTGTTGTAACCTGGGATGGCCAAAAACTCACAGATGCAATCTAAGGGGTTGACCACAGAAGCAAAATACTTTCCTGGTCAAAGATACTAATATGAAAAGTAAATGCTTTGTTTTATAATCGAGTATAGATGCTATATCAAGGTTTATGAGGAACAGGGCTGGAGAAAAAGCTAGGAGTACTCAATATTTTCCTTACTATTTATTTTAAATCAAGCCAAGGTCAAAGTTTATTAGAGCTTTTTACAACAGGTGTTATCACAAAGCAGCCTTACAGAAAAATCTGGGTCTCAGCCCCCATGAGCGTCGCCAGTGGCGACAGTGGCAAGGAAAAACTCCCAAAGAGCAAAGAGGAAGAAACACTGAGTGGAACCAAGACCCAGAAGGGGAACCCATCCTCCTCTGGTCGACACCGGATTGCAAACAGCTTTAGTATAAAGTATTATAGTACAAAACAGGAAAAACAGGCAGAACAATGGTTAATTAGATAGTTTGAGTTTATGCAACAGCAGCATCATCAGGAGGGTCAGTTCATGCTGGTGAGGTATGCACAGCGCTATACACCGAGAAGCTCCATGGTGGTCAAACCAGTCCAGAAGGCTGGCGAGCAGTGGCACCCGATCAAAGCGGAAGAAGCAACAGCATCAGACGCGCAGGACGGGCAGCTGTTGCCCAGAGAAATAAATAATGACTAATAAATAATAGATACCTTTTCCTTCTCTTGTAAAGCTGCCATTTTAGAGACACAAGGTTTCGTTTCCAAGCTGTGTCAAAACGCCTCTTTCAGTAATCAGATTTGCTTATGTGGTTTCTGATCTATAAAGATGGATATATTCAGGCTTCAAGACGGCTGCTACGTTACACTTTCCTCCATTCATATTGATTTGGGATAGGCTGTTCTGGCCGTAGCAGTCCTGACGTCTAAAGTTTGTTTGTCGATCAATCTATTTCTCTGTACTTTGGTGAACTTGATTTTTTCTCTTTAAGTAGCCTCGAGTCAGTTGAGCGCGTTAGCCCAGCGCTCTAATCATGACTGATGCTTGCGCTGGATTTCATTGGTGGCTAACAGTCCACGGCTCCCAGGAGCTAATGAAATGTGACGAAGTACGGTGGAAGAGGGGGATATTCAACGCACTCCTCGCTCAATTCATCTCTTTCTTTCCTGACGAGCACCTTTCTTCACTAATGTCCTCGGGGGGGAAGAAAGCGGCTAAGCAGCTGAATGACTGAGCTGCTTGTGCCGAGAGAGAGAGAGAGAGGGAGAGAGAGAGAGAGATGGAGGAAATGGGTGACAGTGACGGGATTTTAATGGCAGTGTTAATGCTCAATTTGAAGGCTGAGAATGTTCACTTTGATGAGATAGATGACATCTTTCTTCCTTTATTCCAGTTCTCACTTTATTAGAAACCCCTTTCTTGTAGCCCTTTGGGTGATATGGTTGGGGGGGGGGTGCATTTAGAGACTGTAGCCCATCTGTTGATGAACAGTTTGTGCTGGTATTCCTCTAAGCCTTTATCAATCGTCGGTTTTTGACCACTGAGTGGCTCCTGGATATTTTTAAGACTGACCATAATTACCTACTGAGCTTAAGGGTTTTGCAGCCTAGAACTGGGCGGCACCAGGTTTGCGTAAGTTTATACTTTATACTTCAGTTTGTGCGTAAAGTCTTTACTGAGTCCTCAGTTACACTAATTCTAAACTGTCTTTTTACTAAATTTGGTTTCCACCACAAATCTGTAAGTTGTGTCTGAACTAATAACAACTAATGAATGTGTACGTTGCTTTAACATGATGATAACATCTTTAGAACCGATCAGTAAACCTGCTGCCATGGAAACGCAGCAACAGTTTGCTCTGACTTTTCAATGGAAAAAACATCCAGCATAGAAGAGAACGATGTGTACAAGTTAAACTGAATAAACTGCAGCAACACTGACGTGGTGGTGGTGTCTTAGTGTGTGTTGTGCTGGTATGAGTGGATCAGACACAGCAGTGCTGCTGGAGTTTTTAAACACTGTGTCCACTCACTGTCCACTCTATTAGAGACACTCCTGTGTTGTTGGTCCACCCTGTAGATGTAAAGTCAGAGACGATAGCTCATCTGCTGCTGTACAGTTTGTGTTGGTCATCCTCTAGTCCTTCATCAGTGGTCACAGGACGCTGCCCACAGGACACTGTTGGCTGGATATTTTTGGTTGGTGGACTATTCTCAGTCCAGCAGTGACACTGAGGTGTTTAAAAACTCCAGCAGCACTGCTGTGTCTGATCCACTCAGACCAGCGCAACACACACTAACACACCACCACCACGTCAGTGTTACTGCAGTGCTGAGAATGATCCACCACACAAATAGTACCTGCTCTGTGAGGGTCCATGGGGGTCCTGACCACTGAAGAACAGGGTAAAAGGGGGCTAACAAAGTATCAGAGAAACAGATGGACTACAGTCTGTAACTGTAGAACTACAAAGTGCACCTATATAGTAAGTGGAGCTGATAAAATGGACAATGAGTGTAGAAACAAGGAGGTGGTCAGAATGTTATGCCTGATCAGTGTATAGAGTGGATGAAGTGGATGGTGAGTGTTTACCTGTGATTAGTTCCTTCTTCTGTTGGTACCAAAGACTGAGCTAAATTGGATTGATTTGCAAAAAACAACTCATGCCAACCCCTGCAATCATAAGTGGGACGGCTCCAGCAAACCACAATCCTCTGGAATTATGAATAAAACGTACACGGAGGGTAAACGATTCAGGGGCAAGGGGTAATATTTACTCAGCCAGCGCAGCCTTTAAATAACCAAAGATGACGCCAGGCTTGTTTGATTAATTTCGCTTTGGTAGCTCTACCTGTTGCAACCTTTCTTTCAAGTGTGAAATTAAATGCGTTTTCCCCCCATGAGGTTTTTTCTGTCCGTAAAGATCTAGTTCTAAAATATGCAAAGAAAGCTTTGTTAGATAAAGCTCAGGCGTGAAACAGCTAAAGCGTGTGTTAGGCTTGAGCGCAGACCTTTGGGACAAACAGAATGGTTTTAAATTTTTTCAATGCTTTCAAATGTTGAAACCTGACCTGACCATGGACATGTAAGTGACACTGCCTCTGGTTTGAGCAGCACCGGATTGCAATGCTGTTTTTCTCATCTTCCCGCATGCAAATTAATCAACGACTGTAATTCTCAAAAAGTTTGGCTCAAAGTTGGATTTTAAAATGAAGTTTGAAAGAAGTCGTTTTGTGTGTCATTGTCTGTTATAATGTGGACAAGACCAATAGCACCTCACTCTATAAACCTTTACAACTGTTTAACTGGTAAAATCTTTAGACAGACCGACAGACCGACAGACAGACAGACAGATAGACAGACAGACAGACAGACAGACAGACAGATAGATAGATAGATAGATAGATAGATAGATAGATGAACACCCCTGTTTCCACCATAGTTTTGACACACTATCAGCATTC